CGAATGACAATAAAGAAACTCTGACTCTGACACCAGTGGCCCCCCTCTTTGAATCCGGAGGTTTCTGAACCCACCTTCCAGAGTGGAGGTTTTTTGCTGACCCCCCACTGATAATGTAAACATCTCCCGCTGAGGCTTTGTGTTAAACCACATGTGCACACGCACGCCCGGACAGACGCTATATTTCTATCAACATGGCGGCGGACACACTGCTTTCAGAACCTCGATTGATGGAATATATTTTAATCTCGTAATCTACGTCAGATTCCAGGTGCTGTGACCAACATCTGTGTTGGAAGAGACACAATCTGATCCAGTTCTAATATCACTGTTTATAGAAAGAGGCACGTGCACACGTCGCGTTGCACTATAACATAAATGTGCTAAATAATAATAATAAACAGTATTTATGTTAGTGTGAGATATAATGAAGCTCTGAGCTAAATGAAGCTATCTGGACATTATGTAATTCAAATTTAAAATGATGCTAAACATATAGCGTGAACACTTAAGTTGAAAATGAAGACATCAGGTTTAATTTTTATTTATTTATTCAACACCACAAACTGTATGTCACACAAACACTGATAATTAAACTGAACACACTATTAAAACACGTTAACTGAACTTGAATGGATTGAATAAAAGAACTGAGGGGAATTTTAAACAAATAGATCATCAACATCTGTCTTCGACGTCCTGCTGCAGTTCATCTGGGCCGAGCCTCGTTCAGAATCGGTCCACCTGTTGGGAGACAGTTTCTTCTTCTTTCAGGAAAAATAAAAACTCGGTTGTTTTGTAACCAAAGTAAACACAAACTAACATTATTAAGAACATTTGATTTACCTGCTGTAAAACAGCTACTGATTATCACGGAGTAAAGTCCGACATTGACTCGGTTCTGATCCACTCATCGACTGGTGTGGAGCTGTTAGACGAAGCGGTCCCGCTTGGCGTCAACTCTTATCCAAAATCCAGCTTTAACTTGTTGTTATGTTGTTGTTGTTAGCTGGTTAGTCCAGAAGAAAACAGCGTGCCGAGGCAGCACGCATGCTTATTAGGTGAAGGTACAAAATTCACAGCGCCATCTAATGACCTGGCATGGTAACTAGAGCGGATTCGGGAGGGCGGGGGGAATCCTCCAGATGCATGTAAACCCAAAATGCAACTGTGTCAATGCAAATCTTTTCCTCTAATTAACATACGAAAAAAACCTACGTTTCCCCTCATCGTGTCCGTGTAAATAGGGCCTAAGTGAAACAAGGCATTTCTTGAGTTGCAGTAAATTAGGCTATATACATATATACTCTCTCATTCCAGAAAACAACAAACGATGTCATCCTTCATGATGGAAAGACATCACGCATAACACATCAAGCAGCTGTCTTGACTGAAAGCATCCTTAACATGATGTCACTTACATGAGGCCTCTGTCGATGGTTGAAGACGAAGGCTTCACTACAACAATCCACACTTTTAATACAGGTTACACTCTTCCCTCAAGGACACATTTTTCAAAATAGCTACATATTGTATAGGTATGGTAAATGGACTATACTTATACATGCATTCATTACATCTAGGCTTGATTACTGCAATTCGTTCCTGTTTGGTATCAGTCAGACCTCCATTGCACGACTACAACTGGCCCAGAATGCAGCAGCCCGATTTTTAACCAGTACAGGCAAAAGAGAGCACATTACACCAGTTTTGGCCTCACTGCACTGGTTACCAGTTCACTTTCGAATCCAGTTCAAAATACTCATGTATGTCTACAAATCACTGAACAGTGTCACCCCCCCATCTCTCTGATCTGCTACAACCGTATGTCCCACCACGTTCCCTGAGGTCAGCGGACCAGTTGCTCCTCACAGTTCCAGGAACTCGTCTTAAGCGCAGAGGTGACAGGGCCTTCTCTGTAGCAGGACCAAGACTCTGGAACGAGTTACCTCTGCTTGTCAGACAAGCCCCCTCCCTCTCGGTTTTCAAGTCCCGTTTAAAAACTCACTACTGTTCAATAGCTTTCAACACCAGATGATCTGTGTTTTGATCCTGTATGCTCCACACTGGTTTGTCGTCATTATCTGCATCGTTTTTATGTCTATATTCTGATTGATCTCATTTTGTATTTTGCTTGGTGTGTTACCTGTTGTTTTGTCTGTACAGCACTTTGGTTGGCCTTGTAGCTGTTTTAAGTGCTTTATAAATAAAGTGGTATGGTATGGTATGGTATATAGCATCTTTCTATCTAATCAAGATATTCAAAGTGCTTTACACTACAATCTGTGCCACATTTACCCATTCATACAGTACTTTACTAGATCTCTACAAAGCTAATTGAACAAATCATTCTAAAGAGACTAATCAGTGCTTTAGATCACATTCATACACTGATGGGACACACATCGGAGGCAATGAAGGGTTCAGTGTCTTGCCCATGGACACTTCGGCATGTGACTGCTGGTGGATTCGAACCACCAACTCTTGCATTGTAGGACAACTGCTCTAACCACTCAGCCATAGCCGCTCAGGTATAAAGCATATATTTGTTTATATTTTTGTGTACATTATTTTTTATTGAAGCTATTTGACTAACTTTTTATTTTTTATTCTTCAATATTTTTACTGACAGAATAGTCAAGTAGCAACCTGTTTTTTGTGCGATTTGCCACGTCGATCGGTGTATGGATTGAAACATCACTCTTCTTTCGGTGTCAAGTTTCAGTATTGGCTGTAATGTGTCACGTGGTTACAGCACGCCGGCAGGTAAAACGCAGACATATAGCAAACAGACTACGTGCTTACACCCAGAGCTGTATAAAGCTGCCGTATAGCTGTACGTCTATGGTGCTGGTTACGCCCACAGACGGGGTTCACCTGTGCAGTGTGTGTGTTGTCGAATGGCTTCAATTTACAAGCAGAAAGTTGCTCCATGTTTGTCTTCAAGGGGGACCGCAGCCTCCCCCACTCCTCTCAGTGTTAAAGTCAGCCTGTGAGTGTTGAACGGCCTGATTCATTATCTCCATGACTGGACTCCTCTTCATCAAAGAACTCTGACGGAGTTGTTTCTGGGACTTCAGCTGGTAAGTTTACGTTTGTTAACGTTACTGCAGCTTAACACGTGCATCGCGGTGAGTTAAACTAGAATCCATGTAACACTAACTTTAAGATATTAGTGTGTAGCTTTATTTTATCTACGTAGCTAGCTCAACTCAGACGCTAACTAAACATTGACAGTAACAGATAAAGCTTAGCTTGTAAAAATGTGCTCATCCATCATAGTCAGCTGCTTAAAAAGTTCAGCTAATGTTCACTGTTTATGTTCTCCTCACAGGAGCCTCTGACCCTGATGTGAGGAGGACAGACAAAAGAAAAGCGAGGTGGGGGGGCCATAGGACAGTCACAAACTTTGTTGTTAAACGTTTGCTGCCTTTTTCTACAGTGGAGGCTGCATGGTGGAGGTAAGTAAGCTGTAAAGGATATTGTTTACCAGTTAAACCGTTATTGTTTAGCCTAGATAACGGTTTTTGAGCCATAATAACACAACCATGTTATTCTTGATGTTTTGTGTTCTATTGTCAATTAAGGAGATGATAAGAGCCCTAAACCCCAGAGAACCAAAGAGAAGATTCAGGAAGAGAAACAGAGGTGCAGATGTCTGCATCAACCCTAACCTCAGTGAATCCAGTGACCTGCTGGAGGAATGTGAGGGACACTATGCCAAGATATTAAACTTGACAACCAGGTATCTGTGTGTGCAACAAGCATCATCCACACCCTCAGAGTGAACATTTCCCACTGCTGGAGACACCATCAGCCAGGAGTGGGCTTGTTTGTGTCCATAGAAAGCAGACATGTTGATTTTTCTGAAGAAAAACTGTTAAGTGAAAATATCCTGATGCATGCTCAATAATCCAGGTAGAAAAATCTAAAAAAGTTAAATCTGGTCCTCTGGACATTCAAAAAAACAAAACAAAGCAAATCAACAAAAAATGTAGAAACGTTTCGTCTCTCATCCGAGAGACTTCCTCAGTCTGAGGAGCTGTATTCAGCTCAGTCTCTTAAATAGCACCGTCTCAGGGTGGATCAACGGTCTACACTCATCTCCAGGCCAGCGGTCACTCTTTCAGGGATGAAGATGTTCACATCCTGGACAGAGAGGAACGATGGTTTGAGAGAGGAGTAAAGGAGGCCATCTTTGTGAAAAGAAATCGTCCATCGTTAAACAGGGGTGGAGGCCTCCGGGTTCAACTGTCCCCCTCTTACAATGCTGTGATTGCTAGTATCACTCAGCCCTCTGTGAACAATAAACAGCCATCAGTGTGCTAATGATCCATTGTTAGGCTGATGGTCCTTCTTGAGCATGTGATCAGCTGGTTTTGGTTGTCAGCAGCAAAACTGGTTGATCCACCCTGAGACGGTGCTATTTAAGAGACTGAGCTGAATACAGCTCCTCAGACTGAGGAAGTCTCTCGGATGAGAGACGAAACGTTTCTACATTTTTTGTTGATTTGCTTTGTTTTGTTTTTTTGAATGTCCAGAGGACCAGATTTAACTTTTTTAGATGTTAAGTGAAAAGGTCCTCAGTGTGTAGCAGTGAGCATTAGACACTGACGTGTCACTGGTTGTTTGTAACAGTTATTTTGACCTGGAAATTATTTGTTTATTTTTATGTAAGAAAACTGCTTGGAATGGAAAAATACCATCCATCCATTATCTTTTACCCGCTTCTTCCATTTTGGGTCACGGGGGTCGCCGGTGCCAATGTCCAGCAATCACAGTGCGAGGGGTGGGGTACACCCTGGACAGGTCGCAAGTCTATCACAGGGGAAAAATACTTAAGTTAGAAAATAAAACTCACGATTTTTACTGTAATGTGTAAAGTAATTTTATTCTTGTTAGAATTAATATTAATTACAAAACTGGTACAGAAAAAAGAACCGTCAAGGAACCGACACCGAAGTGAAGGTACAGACACCGGTAACGAAACTGATTTTTAGAAAGGTACCCAGCCCTAACTACAATGTACACTAAATACACTACAATGTACACTAAATACACTACAATGTACACTAAATACACTATAATGTACACTAAACACACTACAATGTACACTAAATATACAATGTACACTACAATGTACTCTAAATACAAGACAATGTACACTAAAGACACTATCAATTTCTGGATAAAATAGCACTTCCTAAATTATCAGATAATCAATCAATGGAGCTGGATTCACCACTGACACCAGTGGAACTCCAGGAAGCCCTCAAAAGCATGTCCAATAAAAAAGCTCCAGGTCCAGATGGATTTCCAGCAGAGTTCTACAAAGAATTCTGGAATATCCTGGCACCACTATTTCACAGAATGCTACAGGAAACTGAGAAAAATAACAGACTTCCAGAAAATATAAACTCAGCCAACATTAGTCTCCTGTTAAAACCAGGCAAAGATCCTGTATTACCTACCAGTTACCGTACCATATCTCTTATCAATGTTGATCTTAAAATAATTTGTAAAGCCCTCTCATAAAGATTGGAAAAGATAACTCCTCTCATAATACATCCTGACCAAACTGGTTTTATAAAAGGGAGGCATTCATCCACAAATTCACGCAGATTATTTAATTTAATAGATTATTCTTACAGTAAAAATGTTGAAACTGCAATATTCTCTCTAGATGCAGAAAAAGCTTTTGATAGAGTTAACTGGAAATTTTTATTTGCAGCCTTGCATAAATTTGGTTTTGGAACTTATTTCATAAACTGGTTAAAAATATTATATGCTTCCCCATCAGCATGCATTAGGACAAACAATCAAATATCTGCTAGCTTTCTTCTGCAAAGGGGCACGAGGCAGGGATGTCCACTCTCCCCCTCACTGTTTGCTATTTTCATCGAACCGCTAGCCGCAGCAATCAGACAAACTACAGATATTAAAGGTATAAAATGCAAGAACATAGAGCACAAAATCAGTCTATATGCTGATGATGTGTTGCTCTTCCTCCAGCATTCACAAACCTCCCTCTCTCAGGTTATTGGATTGATAAACTCTTTTTCAAGAGTTTCAGATTACTCTATAAACTGGATAAAATCCACAGTTCTACCAATTAATTGCTATTTAAAAAAAAAAAAAAAAAAAAGAAATTTCAACAATTCACTTACTACACAACTGCAGTCAGGGAATATTATGTACTTGGGTATCAAAGTCTCTCCTAGACTAGCAGATTTAACAAAACTAAACCACATCCCACTTTTAAAGAAAATTGAGGATGATCTTGCTAGATGGAAATCTCTACCCTTGTCTCTCATGGGAAGAATTGCTTCAATAAAAATGATGGCTTTGCCTAAAATAAACCATCTATTCTCAATGATTCCAAATAAACCATCATCTGACTGGTTTAGATCCCTGGACTCCTCCATCTCTAAATTTCTCTGGAAAGATAAACCCCCACGTATTAAACTAAAAACACTACAGAAGACCAAAGATAAAGGAGGACTAGAGCTAACCAATTTCTATTATTACTTTCTAGCCAATAGGCTAGAATACATCTCAAGATGGATAAAACACACACCCCTTGATGAACCCTGGCTAGACGTAGAACAGACACTTTGTAATAATATAATGATCTTGGACCTTCCATTCATTAGCTCAAACATAAAACGACAGGAATGCTTTAAAAGCATCAATATCAGCTCCTCTCTGACAGCTTGGTGGGAGTTTCTTAAAATGACAGAGTCTTCACCAATTCCATGCAGACGTACACCCATCTGGAACAACCCTGACATCCTACAACAGAATAATATGATAAACTTCCCAGGTTGGAGGTGTAAAGGAATAGAATATTTAGAACATATATATGAGGACATAAACTATATGCCATTTAACAGATTAATAACACAATATGGGATTGATGAGAATACATTTTTAGAATATCAACAAATTAAATCTATAACAAAAAATAAATTTAACCTTAATAACACTAGAATTGAAATACCAACAAGTGTATTAGAATTCCTAAATCTTAACCCTCCCAAATTACTATCTAAGGTTTACCGGACACTTATTAAAATAGATGAATCAATATCCCTTCCCATTGTAAAATGGGAGACAGACTTGTCAGTCAACTTGGACCAAAACTTCTGGTCTCGGATATGTCTAAGAACTTTTAAGATGATTAAAAACCCCAATTTACAATTAATACAATACAAAATCCTTCATAGAGTACACTACACAGGTCAACGGATGTTCAGGATGGGTTTCGCATCATCTAATGTTTGCTCACAGTGTACAAACAATATTCCTGACAATCACATCCATGCATTTTGGTTCTGTCCACCTGTTCAGAGGTTTTGGTGCCGGATATGTGAAGACTTGTCAAAGTGTATGAGATGTAATATTCCACTCTCTCGGTCAGTTTGCTTATTGGGTCACTTAGATGATGTCACCTTGGAGACAAAGTCAATTCACACGATTTTTACTGCTTTATGTATAGCAAAAAAAACTATACTCATAAATTGGAAAAATAAAAATACTCTTAGTATTAAACAGTATAAAGACCTTTTGTTAGATTAAATCAGTTTTGAGATAGCCTGTACCTCCACATCAGAACAATCTCTCTGGGCTTCTTTGATTGGCTTCAACCTGTAGTGGAGGTGGGTAAACCCCTTTGATTTCATCCCGTGGGGCATTGTGGTTGATGTGGGGGGGTGTACTCGGGGCTGGGGGCATGGGGGGGTCGTGGGCCCGGGGCAATGGCACTCAACTGGGGAGATGGCTTTGGTGGTTCTGGGCGTTGACCTCTGCTGGCTGCATGCAGGCCTCTGGGCGGTCTGTGCCGGCGGGCGCAGGTTGCTGGCCTGGTGGCCTGGCTGCTCCTGGGTGGGTTTGGGGTGGGCGCGGGTTCGGGGTTCTGGGGGAGTGTCGCTCCCGGGCTGGGGTCCCGGCTTGATCCGGGGGTCTCGGGTCTTGGCGGGTATGTTGTCAGGGTCTTGGGCCTGTGCATGCGCCGGCGCCCGGCCCTGGCCTGGGGGCCCTTGGTGCGCTGGTGGGCTTTGGGGCCTCTGCCGTGGCGGAGGGGGGGGGGGGGGTTGTCTCAGCCTGGGTGTCTTCCTGCCTGGCTGTGGCTGCGGTCTGGTGCTGGGCTGGGGTTCTGGGCTGTGGGGGGTTGTGGGTGGGGGGGCTTTTGCTCAGGTGGCTCTGCACTGCTAGCCCGGGGGTGTCTGGGCGTGTTAGGCGTGCGCCCTCCCTTGCATGGGGTGCTCTCATTGTGGGTGTTGCTGTGGTGGACTGGTCGGTCCTTTTGTGGGGGTGGGGGTATGCTCTTGGTCATCGTGGTGCGCTGTCTGCGGCTGTTCAGGCACTCCTGGCTGACTGTCGCTGCTGGAGTTTGGTGGCTTCTTTGGTTGGGGGGCTGGGTGTTGAGCTGGGGATCGGGTTGGGGGTCTGGATGATCTTGGGGGGACTTGGGTTGCTGGCCCGGGTTCTGGTCGGTCCTCGGGGCTATGTGCCGGTCTGTGGCCTGGGTCCCTGGTGGTGCGGCTGCCTCCTGCTCCTGGATGAATGCACTGGAGCCTCCCTCCCCTGGTGGATCTCGGAGAATGGGGGTGCCTATTGGGGTCAGTGGGGGAGCTGGCCCCCTGGGAGGGCATTGCCACCTCAGTTGTTCCTCCCCATCCCGACGTCTTCCTCCACCCACTCCATCACACCACCACTCAAGCAGGGCCTTGGGGTTCAGGTGCACTACTGAGCTGCGGGGAGGATCCTCCATCTCTGTGGTTCATGGAGACCTGGGCCCCAATTTTATCAAACAACTTAAGACACTCGCATATAACATTCTCACGACACATGCATATATAGGGTCTGGAGTGGGCACATGGTGGCATATAGGAGGTGGGATGTGTAATCATTCTCACCTCCGGGACCTGTGCCCACTCTCATATGTAGCATGTAGACATTTAGGGTTCTGGGCAAGGGTTGGGGGGTGAACGGGCACTGCCTGCTCTCTGGGGAGGGGGTGGGTCTGTGCCAGTCGCCACCTCATCCCCCCTATTTTAAACGCACTATATAACAACACGCATCAACATCTTATTTGAGTGGGGGGGGG